CCCCACCAGGGCTGCAGCTCAGCCCCTGTAATCCCCTTCCCGCTCCGACTCACCAGCTTATTTCCTGGCTAATTCCCCAAGCTATAAATACTGCTCTGCCTCAAAGGGCCTCGAGGCCCCGCAGCCACCCCACAGGGCAGGAGCTGGTCCCCCTAGCCTGGAGGCAAGAGCCCTTGTCCCTCCTGCGGGCAAAGGATGTCACTTGGGGTCAGCTGCTATGAGGCCAGTGGGACCATGGGCAGGGTTAGCTTTAGCTGAGTTCCCCCAGCCGTGTTGGGGACTTTCCTGTGCTGGGCAGGGTCATCCCTCAGACACTGCTGTGGATGGTGCAAGAGGGCTCCAGGAACCTGTGGGGATGGGGAGGTGGGGGCCTCAGGCCCACGGGGGAGCCCCATCCCTTGGCTGAGCATACCACCCCCCCCTCCCCAGGCCGTAATGAGCCCCTGAAGAAGGAACGTCCCAAGTGGAAGAGTGACTACCCCATGACGGACGGGCAGCTGCGCAGCAAGCGGGATGAGTTTTGGGACACAGCACCTGCCTTCGAGGGCCGCAAGGAGATCTGGGATGCCCTGAAGGCAGCTGCCTACGCCGTGGAGGCTAATGACCACAGCCTGGCCCAGGCCATCCTCGATGGAGCCAGCATCACGCTGCCCCACGGTGAGGGACGGCACCGAGGGTGCAGATGGGGTGGGTGCTGAGTGCCCCATATCTGGGCACATGGGAGTCCCGGGTTGGAGAGGAGAGGGGTTCCCAGCTGCCATCCACACAGCTCAGCCCAGCCAAGGTGGTCAAGGCGCTGCCACTACCTGTAGTGGCCCTGTCCCCATTGGGTTGGTCCATGGGGCTGCTCACCCACAGCATCTCACCATCCCCAGGGTCCCTAACGGAGTGCTATGATGAGCTGGGCAACCGGTACCAGTTGCCCGTCTACTGCCTGGCACCTCCTGTCAACCTGATCCTGGAGCGGAGTGAGGAGGAGGCAGCGGAGCCGGCCGAGCCCCTGCCCAATGCCCGGCGTGAGTTTGCCCTCAAAGTGCGGCTCTCCACTGGCAAGGACCTGCGGCTCAGCGCCAGCATGGGTGACACCATCGGGCAGCTGAAGAAGCAGCTGCAGGCACAGGAGGGCATCGACCTGGCCTGGCAGCGCTGGTTCTTCTCAGGCAAGCTGCTCACCGACCGCACGCGGCTGCAGGAGACCAAGATCCAGAAGGATTTCGTTGTGCAAGTGATTGTCAACCAGCCCCTGCCGCCCAGGAACTGAGCCACCCCTGCACTGGTTGCGGGGAGAGGGCAGGGACCTGGGGGGCAGAGGCATCTATGGGGATTCCCTGTGCTGCTGGGATGCCCTGCTGGAGCCAGGGCAGCTCCTGCTGCCCCCCGAGGCTGCCCCTCACCTGGGTGATCCCCCAGGAAGGTCTGCATGGGGCTGTGCCGCTGTGGTGGCCCCTCTTGGCTGGGGACAAAGGCATGCACTG